TTAAGTGACATATTATTAGAACACCTGGCAGAGGCGTCAAAAACTACGCGTAATTTAGTTGTAGTACTATCGGGTTTTATGACACAAGAATGCGGGATATAATAGTTTGATACCGAGGAATCAATTTCAGATGGTGGAATAATTTCCATGTGAGAACTATCCAAGTAGTCTCGCATGAATGCGGAGTACTCAGAATATAAAGCGGGATTTTTAACAAGTCGTTTTTCTAAACTAAAAAAGCGGCGACGAGCTATATCTCTGGAATTATCAAATGTCAATTGACAGTTATCATCTTTTAGCGGTAAGGCAACCACATATTTTCCCGAATCTGTTCGAAATGTCGTATCTGAATAGAATTTTTCGCATTTGGCATCTTCTGGAGAAAAAACATTTGGCGGTTGAATGTCTTCGCACTCCCAAAATTTTGTAACAATTTTCTCCAATGATGAAATTTCAATTGAACTAAACAACGAATTTAAAGTACTGGGCGGCGGAATTTCAACATTTCCGATCAGAACCCAACCAAAAGTTGTATTCAAAGCAGTTGGTAGGCCGGCCTCACCCTCAACGCGGCCGTAACATAACATTTGTTGAAACAAGTCGGCTCCTAATAGTAAGTCAATAGTAGCGGGAACAGCAAATTGCGGATCAGCGAGATTCAAATTGGCGATATGCGACCAACTTGTTGAATTTAAAGCAAAAGAGGGCATATTTGAACAAATGTTCTTCAAAATTAGCGACTCGAATTTTAAAGTAGGTTCTGGTGAATTTCTAGGGGAAATACAACACTGTACAGTACCCGAATTTGCCAGAGTGTTCATATCCCCTAGACCCAATATTGAGATGGACGACTTATACGACTTGAGACCTAAACGGCGTACGCATCTTTCTGAGATGAAATTTGCTTGAGAACCGGGATCTAGATGCGCTCGTGCAGTTTGAAAATTCCCGCGCGTATCGCGAATATTTATCTGCGCTGTGGCCAGCAATACAGTTTGTCTGGCAGCAGCATGAGCAGCGCACGCGACAGGGTCGGCTTCAGTGCTAATCGAAGCGGTCAAAGCAGAATTTGAAATATTATTTTGGCTAGTGGAAGGAGTGTCGATGGAAGATGGCGGATTTACGTCTACAGAACGATTATTGTCAAAATGTAATGTGGAATGATGAGAATTAGACTGGCAAAAGCGACATGTAGATGTTGAAGAGCAATTTTTAAATAAATGTGTGTGACTAAGGCAATTGACACACCATCGTTTATCTTTGACTAATTTATACCGATCTTTAGGCGATTTTTCCAAAAATATCGGACATTTATACACAGCGTGCGGCGCTGTGCAGAGCGGACAATCGCGAGAATAACTAGGTGAATTATTTGTATTTGTTAAAAATGACGAACTTTGACGTGTTTGATAATTTGAATTATTTCTCGAGTTAGGTGGAGCGGAACTTAGCGGTTTGGGTTTCATACGCGGGGTTGAAAAAGAAAGCGTTTCATAGGCGTTGCACTGTTTAATTAGAAAATCTTTCAAACTCGAATAGGATGGCATATTGTTGGACCCATGTTCGAGTTCAAAGCGCGAAATAATAGTATTGTCTAATTTTTTCATCATTAAATGAAATAACACAAAATCCCATTGATCAATAGGATATTTCAGATTTTTTAGAGCGGCCAAATTTTCCGTGAAGGTGTCGACCAATTTACGGAGTTGGTGTGGATTTTCCGAAGATATTCGCGGACTATTGTCGATTTCATGCCAATGCGCGGTAGCCAATAGGCGAGTGTTTGCATATCTGTCAACCAGAGCCTGATATGCGATGGGATAATTATCGGCAGATAACGGAGTGCATTGGATTAAAGCTTTTGGCGGGCCATCTAGAGATGCAAGCAGATGAGAAAATTTCTCAATGTTCGACAATGAAATGTTTTTATGAACGATAACATTGAACAGATCTATAAAAGAAGTGAAGCTTTTAATGTCCCCATTGAATTTGGGTAACTTCATTTCAGGTAACTTCACCCTTGGAGCAGAATCCTCCTCAGGTGATGACTTTACCCGAACACTCCGATCAAACAGATCTGAAAAAAGTGCCTTTATGCTGAAATAAATATCTTCGAATTCAGAACGGATTTCTTCTTCCTTATTTAAATCTGCTTCTGTAAATTCATCCGAATTGCACATGACAGTTATGATGGCTACCTGTTTTTCATCAAAATTACTCCAAATAGAATCGATGCTCTGATATCTTTGCTTGAACACAGAAAGAACAGAATGACCTGCCTGAGGATCTGCAGCCTTGTGAGATACATTTGCAAGTTCTTTTAACCGAACTATTTCCGTATTTCGCAAGGCTTTATATTTTTTAAGCTTATCTTTCGAACTCATGAAGGCAAACTAAATTTAACAATCACAGGCGAAGTAATATATTTCAAAGACGGACCTGTGTAAAAGTAAAGACGGGCGGCTCGAGCGCGAGAAAGCAAAAAAGTGCGGATACTAGAGAACCCAAGATAGGTAAATTATAAAAACCGGGTAATTGAGAACTTAATAAAAACTGGAAGACCTCAAACCACCAAGAAACTGACGGACTAATGATAGTGCACAAAGAATTACAACTGAATAATGAAATAAGTACTTCAAAATGTTCAAACTGATAATTTTGAAATGAACTATTCAGGCTCGAAGGATCAAAATGATTTGTAGTGGACTGTAGTTTTCTTTTTATTTTTATTTTAATCACGCTGAATCAGTCGCGGGAAAGTACTTCCTACCTTAAACAGTTGAAATCTGCACCATTCCAGGGAATCCAGGTTCCAGGGCTGCTCCAGAAGTGGAATTTTAATATGCGAACGCGGTGCACCGAAAAACGCGGGTTTTAAATCACTAGAATTGGTTTTCTATCGATTTTTATTTTAGGAGTCAACTGCGCGCTCGATCCCGCTCGTTGCGTCTGTGTCGATCTCTCTTCTCCGGCAGGGGTCGCTGTCCACAGGATTGGAAGTAACTTTCATGAACGCGAAACGGCGGTTAAATTCAAAAAGTGATTCTTTGTGCACCAAATATATGTATATATGTATATATATCAAATAACTATATGAATACTATACAAACTAAAACTAGACAAAAAGAAGGGTGACAACGTTCTTGAACACGCATATTAGTGTTTATGTTACAACCTTTACGGTAACAATAGGCCCATTTTGAAACACAGGAACTATAAAAACCTATCAAATATTGTTTGAATTTCATTGTTGGTGGATAATTTAATGAATTCAAAAATTCTTGCCAACCCTGTACAAAAACATCTTCATTCATCACTGTTTGAAGGTACTTGAGGGTTTTGTATACCCAATTTCGCCTTTCTGGGTCAGAAATTTTAGATGAGCAATACAATTGATTTTGTACATGACCCATTACACTGCACCATGGATTATAAAAAACATTGGTGATATCTGAAATGAAAGTTTTCGCTTCAATGCTACCGACATGATTTCTTATTTCTGTGTAAAAAATTACATTCACAAAGGAATCTTTGCGGTTTGTAAACATAAATGCTACAGGCATCCCCTCACCAAACTCATCTACAACTAATAATGTTGTCAGTTCAAAGTCATATGAGTTGAGTCCATGTGTACTGTCTACAGCAATTATGTTAGTTCCAAATGCCTTCAACATTTCTGATTGCACTTTATTCATGATTATCAGGGAGAAGTCTTGCATCTCTAAATTGTATTTAGAGCATAATTCTGCCTGCCTCTTATAATATAGTACTGGACTATTTCCAGCATCTGAGCATTCTTTGACCCACATATGTACACTAGTAGAATCTTCTTTATGTCTGACCCCATCCTTTGTTTCAATATTGTAAGATATTTTAATGTTATCAATATCTTTTCTAGTTATAATATCTCTTCTCTTAAGAGTTCCTGAAATTTGATCCCTTGCATTGTCCAAAATTCTACAAAAAAATAATTTTATGTCATTTTGTAGAAGTATTGTGCAAATATATCTACTTTGCTGCAGGTATTCCTAACATCAACTTGGAAGCAATTACTTCCTTATCAAATTTTTGTATTCTGAGATGCTGGATTTCATTCTGATGACCATAATGTTGTCTATAATACTGAACTTTACATTCTGTTGAGGTTGAATTGCTACTGATAATAACTTGACTTGTGCACTGGGAATTCATCTTACACGAGCCTTGGGATTTCCGAAATCTTTTACAACTTCTGACTGAGTCCGATGAGGAATTTGATGTCATTCCTGAAATGAAATAAAATATATTGTACTTTATAGATTTGATGAACAAATAGCTGATCAGCACCTGATCTTACACAATATAAATAAACTTTTTCATTGTCATTGGCAATCTTTTTACCAGTTCTTCTAGAATATTGCACATTGTTTTCCTTCTCCTTGGTCCAGCCATGAATTGAACTCTAAAAATTTGTGAATTAAAATAATATAATATATAGATACCTGATGCCTACCTTCCTGAGTTGGAAAATGCATTATAATGACATCATTAAATATATTGTGAACAGAGCTCAAATGATTCCTCAAATGATTTCTATCTTTAAATGATATATTATCACAGCCCTCTAAACATTTAAAATTTGAGTTGCAGCTGCCATGATAACTTATGTTCACAGGACCTATGTCATGATTTTCTAGACGATGTCTATTCAAATTACTCTGATTAGAGAATATTTTGTTGCATATCAAACAAACTACAGCCATTTACGAGATATTATCATAAAAATAGAGACGAACTTTTCAATTTTTTGATTGTTTACACACAAGGATTAGCTTAAAGCTGATTAGAATAATTGACAATTGACAATTCGACACATGGTCACGAACTGGCAACGTTGGATCGGCTTCCTCGTTTTAGGGCCTCGTGTTTATACAGGACTCCAAAACAAAATAGCAATTAAGAAACAACCAATCAAATCACAGTCATTTTCTGATAGTTGATATATGACAAGTGACAAATTAGAATTGAAAATGATTAAAATCTGATAATTCTGATATCGGACATATAAATAATTTTATCACAAATTTTGCCAAATTGCGAATTTGAGTATGAAGATAAAATGAAGGATGGTCTGTTGATAGAGCAGGTGTCAGGATTCCCACAGTTATATGCTAAATCAGACGCGAGGAATAAAAACAATCGTCTGAGGGAGAACGCATGGAAAACCATTGGAGTTATCTTGGAAGGGCCACGTATGTCCAAAAATCTAAAGATGGGATTTTTAGTTATTTTGTTCATTTTATAGCTGAGGCATGTGAACACCGATGGAAGATACTGAGAAACAAGTAGACAGCACTGAGGAGGGAAGCCATGCAAACTCCATCAAGTTGTTGGTCCACTGAAATAACTTGACCATATTTCAAGCTGATGAGTTTCCTGGACCCATATTTGCAGACAAGAAAGTGGGTATTGCATTTTAAAAATTGATCTGTCTATTTGCAGCCCTACTTTCATGGAAAATAGGTGCATTTGCGAACGGCAGCTCTTCGTCAGTAGGCACTATTGGTTCGAGTTATCAAAATGAGTTAAAATAGCAAAAATTCAGTTATCTAGCAATCATAAGGTTAATCAAAAAAGATGGGGCGCTACTGCAACTTTTAATTCAAATGAAATGTTACCTGGAAAGTTGAGCAACTAGATAATGAATAATATTAGTTGTTATCCCAGACTAGAAGACCTAAATTCACCTTACAAATGTTGTGAGTTGGAGTGACATGTCAACAAACAAATAAAACAGTCAAATAAAATACCCAAATCATTTAATTATGATGATAGGACTCATATCACAGGTTTCAACAAATATGCATAATCAAAAATTATATTAGATACCTCTTTCCTGTCGAGAAAATACTCTGTTGCCTGCTACTATGTGGATGAAAATATATATAAAAAATGATATTGTACTTGAAAACTCTACAGCTCCTGTAAGGACGTTTTATAGTCATAGCAGATTTCAAAAAAATATTAAATATGGAAGTATGTACCTATTATGTATGATTTCCTCATTTAAAAATGATCCATTATACACACTAGCAAAGGGCATTATGATTGAATAAAAATGAAAATTAAAAAAAATATTTTCATGTCAAAATCCTGTATGGTGTGTCCTACACCAGTTATCCAGGGTAGCTCAATAAATGGCTTCAGTGCCACCAGATGAAGCTGCTGAGGGGAAGGTTGGCGGAGTGCGGGGTGCTGACTTAACATTCATGGATGTCAGATGACATTGACAGAGTTGTCGTATTTCCACCTTGAAAATCCATCATATCAGGAACAAGCAGGGGACGATATCCAGAGTCCAGATTCCAGACTACTATATAGCCACCGAAGGCCTTGTAGAATTAACAGATCCTGGTAGAGCAATGACTCCTGGGAAGAATAGTGCTCCTGGTAGGATAATTCCCGTTGTAGAATTCCCAGTAAAACTTCTGGTAAAACTCCCGGTAAAAACCCTTAAATAATTCATGAAATAAGGTTCCGAATTTCTGGACTGCAGAAAGAAAAAGCGTAATAATGCGAGACTCACCTTCTATGGAGGGTTGGTAATTGGAATGGCCTTAATGACGATGAAGGTATGCACGTGGCTGCCTGAGTGATGAACCATGAAGATCCTGCCTCTCAAACCAAAACCAGAAAAAATCTGCAGAGTCCAGCAGTCCTTATAGATCAGCAACAAATCCAGGATATCCTGCACAGAGAAAAAAGATCACTAAGGGTTATTAAACATTTAATTATCATAATTGAAAACTTGAATACTATATGGGACAGATATACAGTTTAATAACAGTAGATGAAATTTGTTTCCTGGACTTGTATACCTGCAGCAAGTATCAATTTTAGTAGTTCATTTGTCCCTGAAGACACAGTTGACTTATCACAAATGAAGTATCTGATAACAGTGCAATATTATCTGTATTATAACAACTCACTTATATCAACCAGTTATTGAACAGTTCAGTCAACATTGCTGTTCAGATGCCTGTGGCTATTCCATACTTCGATAACAGTTATATAACTGTTTTAATACACATTAAAGTAAAGAAGAATAGGCTTTATTAAACAGTTTGATTGCCTCGGATACACTAGCCGACTGTGATAGGTAACATTTGTGTTGATTTTTGAAACAAATCCATTCTATATTTATTAAATACTTGGAGTACTACTGATGAAAACTTTAATTACCACTGTATATAAGTGAATAGTTCCAGAAGAAATATGTATCTGCCTCACAACCAAAAATTACTTGCACTTGAAATATAATTTCATTACTTTTTGGTTGAAATATTTTTGTCACAGCTAAAATTCATCACCCCTATATACAGGCTGACTGACAAGAAACGCCCCGAGCCATAGCGCTGCTATTTATATATTATCCGATTTTAAAAAACAAAAAAGCAATGTCTTTTTCCAATTTCAACTATAATGACACCGATTGTCAACTTTTTTTTTCAAATGGCATTTCATATTTTTTAATTTTTTTTCTGATTACAGAGATATAGGGTGTTCAAAATCGAGATTTTTCAAATTAAGATTTTTTTGTGTCAAAACTATTCATTATTGGCAGAGCTGGGCCGGGTACTGATAAATTGTACTCGAGTACCGGGTACCGGGTACTGTTTATAATTAGAGAACGAGTACAGAGTACCGAGTACCCCACTCATTGGATGTACTCAGAGTAAAGTACTCCGAGTACAAGTACCCGAATTTCACGGGTACTCATTTCAAGTACATTTGAATAGAGAATTGATAAATTTTGCATCAGTATTAGTAACCATATTTATTAAACAAAACAACTTAACTTGCAATACTAACATAACTAAAACAATAATGAAAGCCAAAAAAATGTATCAGTGAGACAGTGCAGTGCCAGTGAATGAAGTGAATATACCTCTGCGTGTCTCACTGATTAACTTTATTGGCTTTCATAATGACCAATTTCTCGAAGTTTCCATCGGTCAGAGCATTCCTCCGCGGACTGTTTATTATTGTTGCGAAAGAGAATAAGCGCTCCACTGGCGCAGAAGAGGGCAGACATGTATTGTACCTTATAAACACTCTCTTAATAACCGGATAATCATTTAACAAGCTCAAGCCACTTTTTTTGTCATCTAGAAATTTACAAAGTTCCAGCTCGATTTTGGATGTTTTCTTTTTTTCATTCTCTGCAGTTGATTGCGAGTGTTGAGACTGGGTTTGTTTAGATTGAAATTCTGGTTCATTGAAATCGATAAAGTCATCTGTTGTGTCACTTGAATCTCCTGCATTACCCATTTCTCCGAAATCATCATTCGCTATTAGTTTTTCAGCAGCGCTAATCACCATCTTTTTCAAAGCGTCTATAGAAAAGTCTGCATTTTTTAGGACATTATACCAACGTAATTTGAACTTAGGATGGACAATTGCGGATATTATGGCCTCTTCCGATGACAAATTGAGTATTTCTGAGAATCTCTTTTCCAAGCTCTGCATACATGTTGTAACGAAGTTACTGAAATTCTTATTATTTTTGGGTGAGACACACTGTATATACGAATTCATATATCGAGTTGGGTTAATGAAATGATATAAAGGCCGCTATTTTCTTTGCTCGTGAGGATAGAGATACGCCGGAAGTATTTTATTCTATCAATAATTATTCACGTAATTATTTCTGTGCATTTGATTCCTGGGTATCAATAATTGAGTTGTTTCGACATAAAGATATCAGATGCACAGCTGAGACCCGCGCGCTGCGCGATATCAAACCGCTCACCCCACTCTTTGGTATAAGTGGGGAGCCAAGGTGAGCTAGGTGCTGTGAGAATCAAGCGGAGACAGTTGTCGCCGATCGCCGTAGCCGAACAGTCCAGCCACCAAGAACAGCAGGAAGAAGCAAAGACACTTGAAACCGCAAGTGTTCGCTCCGGAAGACTGACGCCGAGGTGAGGCCGATTGATATAACAGAGGTTCTGTTATTGAAGGTTGCAGGAACGGATACCGCCGTTTCCCGGATTTATATGAGAAGTTCTGGATTGGACTTCTAATGCACCTGGACAGCACCCCTCTATGACTGGACGCAGTTCGTGATAGAGCGGTGTTGCCGGTTGTATTGAAGTACAGTAGATCTCGGACTTCACTTCTAATTCACCTGGACAGCACCCCTCTGTGACTGAACTCAGTTCGTGATAGGGCGGTGTTGCCGGTTGTATTGAAGTACAGTAGATCTCGGACTTCACTTCTAATTCACCTGGACAGCGCCCCTCTGTGACTGGACTCAGTTCGTGATAGGGCGGTGTTGCCGGTTGTATTGAAGTACAGTAGATCTCGGATTTCACTTCCGATCTATCTGAGAGACACCCCTCTGTGATTGGACTCAGTTCGTGATAGGGCGGAGTTGCCAGATATATCGGAGTACGGTAGATCTTGGATGTCACTTCCAATTCATCTGAACAGCACCCCTCTGTTACTGGACTCAGTTCGTGATAGGGTGGTGTTGCTGGATGTGTTGGGGTTGGTTTCTGGCGAGACCGAGTTTAGCATTGCAACCGTGCTAATTGATTTATTGCTTTGTTAAGTCTTGAGCTTGGTTTGTGCTTTCATAACTATTTAGAAGCTTCATACTAGAGTTGCTTTTCTAACACTGTTTTGCTTGCGAATAGATTGCTTATGGCATGTCTCTTACTATCAGCTAACTGAATATAACTTTTCACGACTTTCCGGGGATATACAGGGTGATCGGAAAGTAACGTAACTGACTAAGTTGTTTATTCGTACTTTTCCCAGATATTTAGTTTTCCGCGGATCTGAGCTTTCGGGGGCGGGAGCTTTAGGGTATGTAAATATAATAAATATTAGGTTAGGTAAGGAGTTTATGTCAGATTTAAGTTAATAAAATAAGTTCACAATCACTTAGTTTCCATTTCTTCTCTTAACGGGAGCAGTTGGTGATCCGGGATACTATAGTCAATAATTAAGTTCAACTTGTCACTTTGACAGGCAGATATCAGACCCCTGGATTACCGTTTCTTCACTGAAAGCTGCCCGGTGCAAGTGGACCTACTACTATAATATAGGTGGCGCCCGAGTTATAATTTTTTTTGTAAATAATCAAAGAACCCGCTTCAGAGCGCCAGAATAAATGTAAGGGTACCTAGTTAAAACTCCTTTACAATGTTTTCAGAAGAAGTTCGCCGCCAGAACTAAGTTTTTGAAGCTTTAACTTCTCCCATTTATTCATCAAAGACAGCAGACTTGGAAGTAAATACCCATAAAAGACACATTCCTGTCCTTGCAGAACATCGAGGGTTGCAGCGAGAGGTTTCAAGACCATACAGTACTCCTCTAGGTACAACAACTCGGTTTCTTTGAAGTTTTTCATATTGAGCCTTTGAAAAAGAGACGGTAGCTTTGCTTTGTCGCTTAAAATTTGCGAAACTAAGTCATAATAAGAGTTCCATCTTGTTGCGGCTGGATAACTAAGAGTGTGTCCCAAGACGTCTTTAATAATTTCAGCCGTCTTGGGTCTCCCGGCTTTCGTCCATAAGATTTGACATTTCGAAAAAACTTGAGTATGTCTCGTTCTGATCGCAACGTTTGACTGAATTGCATTTTTGCAATCAGTTGTTGTGATTAAACTCAGTGTGTGACTGGCACAACGGATGTGGGTGGAGAGCATTATCCTGCTTTCCGTATTGTTGGAAACGTCGATTTCGTGGAAGGTTATTTCTTCTTCATACTCATTTATCTAATCTTCACTATCATCTTCATCTTTTTCTTCATGAGTTCTGCCAATTTCCTGTTGAAAATCTTGCACTTCTTCTTCTCCCATCGAAAATTCGCGAAATGCTTTCACGAAATTCGATCCGTTATCTGTTACTGTGGCGATTATTTGAGTTGATTTTATACCGAATTTTAAATTTATGTTTTCCAGCATTTCTCCGATGTTCTTGTAATCGTGAATACCGGAAAACCTTTTGCAAGCTAAGGCTACTGAGTGTCTTTCTAAGTTAGCGTCGATCCAGTGAAGTGTAACACCCATAAAACTTCTTGTTTTAGTCGACCAAATGTCAGCTGTGCAACAAATATAATCTTGCTTTTCAATTTCCTTCTTGAGTTTGTCTATGTGAATATTATACATATCGGTGATTAGTTTCATAGCAGCTTTTCTTCCAATAACGTTCACATTCATTCCATCAAATAACCTTATAAAGCTTGGGTTTTCAATAACAGACACCGCGGACATTGTGTTAACAATAAAGTTAACGATTCTTCTCTCGAACTCCTTCTGTGTCACCAGAACTTTTGAATTTACGAATCTTTTCAGCGTTTCTTGTTTCGACCTTTCTATCGTTGAGGCACTGATGGAAGCACCTGAGTCGTCCTTAGCAGTAGTTCTTCTACTTTTCAGTTTCTCTTTATATTTCACATAGTCATTATACGATTTTTCTCCATGTACCCTTTTCAGATGTTTCACAAAATTTGTGGTGCTTTCAAGAGAACCCTTGATCATCTTTTTTGTGGGAAGACATAATTGGCACATGGCTTCACAATTCATTTTCTCATCACATTTTTCAACAATGAAAAATTTTCCATCGAGCATCGGACTGTTCTTGCATTTTTCGATATGATCTACTCTTGCAGTGGATGCAGGTGCGGAATTATTGGATTTCTGTCTCTTTTCAAGTACTAAATCTCCATCTTTTTTGGACACCTTATTGGAATAGATGCTGGAAGTCGAAGCCAAGGCCGATGATTTGGGATTTATGAAGAAATCTATTATTTTGCTAGACTTCTTTTTCTCCGGTGGAATATAATCCACATCACTCTCTGAAGAATTATGATATGGGTCTTGAACTTCATCACTCGAATTCGAAGTTTCCATGGCGCTATAAATGAAAGTCAAGGTCAAGGTTGCATGAACATGATATACAAAGTGAAGAAAATAATTTTAAATTTTGAAAATTATTGAGAAACATGCAATTTAATGATAATAATAATAATAATGATAATAATAATTATAATAACGATAATAATAATTATAATAACAATAATAATATCAACAACTTCAACAATTGTCTTTTACAAATTATAAAAATCATTTCAGTTTCAAAAACTGTTTTCACCTACAACACCCACTCACTGATTGATATTTTCGAAATTAATCTGTATTTAATAGTTTTATTTACTATTTTCTGTAAATTTTAAAGAATTGACCCATTCATTTCTTATTCATTATTAATACGTAAATTAAGGCAAAAATCAAACTACTTATTTGTCGTTGTTCACGTCTATACGTATCTCTATATGAGAGCAATATTATTGCAAAATACTATACCCTTACCTCTTAGTTTAGTGTGGTTTAGTCTTAAGAAAACAACAGAAACGACACAAAAAACACTTGACTCTTTAACTGTTACACAGTGTACAAAACAAAAACTCCGCGTTTGGTTCTGATTGAAGGGCTGACTGATAATGATGATATAACATATAACAGCGGTTTCCCGTGTTGCACTCGCATATGCACAGACAAGTTTATTCTTGCAAAAAGTACCCGGAAAATGTACTCGTTTAATAAACGCGGGTACCGGGTACTTTCCCGAAATGCTACGGGTACGAGTACCGGGTACTTTATTGAAAATGTACTCGGATACTGGGTACTGAGTACACGAAATGTACTCAGAGTACAATATTTGAGTACTTGTACTCGAGTACTGCCCAGCTCTGATTATTGGTCAAAACGGATTACATGTGCCTATCTCAACTTTTGATTTACTATCTACTGACATTTAATTGGAACAGATACAGGGTGATCAGAATTCTCTGATAATAAATAGCGGCGCTATGGCTCGGGGCGTTTTTTGTCAGTCAGCCTGTATAGAAAATGAAGGTTGAAATAATAAAAAAAAAACGTGTTATGGAATAAAATGGTTTTATTCATGATATTTCATAATAACACAGTATATAGGAACATAAAGTTTCAAATCCATTTAACAAAAAATAACTCATATTTATACTACAGGGTTTGGTATATATAGGAACATAAAGTTTCAATTCTATTGAACAAAAAAATAGTACTACAGGGTGAGTCATGAGGAACTGAACATAATCCTACCACGAATAGAGGCCCCTGAGGAGAATATCTAATGACCATCAGAAAGTGTCTTCTCCTCTTCTTCACTAATATATAGGGTGAATTATGGGATTTGGCAAAATCATCTTTTGGTCATAACATTCCAACATCTTCTTCGATTTGTCTGATTTTTTCATGGAATACTCTGCTACTACTCTCTAATCGACTGACTTATTCAGAATCAGGAAAATCCAGGACCGTTCTTGAAAAATTTTGCTAGTTTAATTAATATCAAAAAGTTCATCCTGTATATGGTTTTTGTAAACTGTGACAGGGAATATTCAAAGGTCACAAACAAACATCAAGAATAAGATATTCAAAATTTTCCTCACACTTTTACAGACCTTTTCAAAAAACTATAAATTCTAAGAAAAAAAGGAATTTCAGCAACAAATTCATTCATTTGAAAATAAATACTTCGCAACGCATAAATTTCACGAATGAAAGTAAGACTTACATTTTCAATGCTTCAGCTCGTTGAAAATCAACATATTCTCCTTTTTTCAGGCCTGGATTTCGTCATTTCATTTGTTCGTGGAAGGTCATAATCACCCTGTAGATCTTTCTTTCGAATCAGTGGATCAGGGTATCTGTATGGATGTTGATGACCATCGATTTGAACAATTCTATGATTATTAATTTTCTGTTTTATCAATTCGATTAGTTTTATTCAGTCAATTTGGTCACTTATTTGCCATACAGAATGATAGACTCATTCGAATGATGGACATCAACATCCATGCAGATACCTCATCCACTGATTCTACAAATATCTACAGGGTGATTATTACCCCCCACAAGAAAATAAAATGACGAAATCCAGGCCTTGATATCATAAAAAATGTTGCGTTTCATTGAGCACTTTTATTCGTGAAATTTATGCTTTGCGAAATATTTATTATAAAATGAATGAATGTGTGGCGTTTTTTCTTAAAATGTAACGTTTTTTGAAAAATTCTGTGAAAGTGTGAGGAAAATTTTGAATATTTTATTTCTGATGTTTGCTTGTGACCTTTGAATATTCCCTGTCACAGTTTACAAAAACCACATACAGGATGAACTTTTTGATATTAATTAAACTAGCAAAATTTTTCATGAACGGTTCTGGATTTTTCCAATTCTGAATGGGTCAGCCGATTAAAGAGTAGTAGCAGAGTAGTCCATGAAAAAATCAGACAAATCGAAGAAGCTGTTAAAAAGTTATGACAAAAAGATGTTTTTGTCAAATTCCATAATTCACCCTATATATCAGTGAAGAAGAGGAGAAGACACTTTCTGATGGACATTAGGTATTCCCCTCAGGTGCCCATATTCGTGGTTGGAGTATGTATAGTTCCTCATGACTCACCCTGTATAACTAAAAACGTAACAATTTATCATGATACGAAAGATATCATATTGTGCCTGGGAAATACATTTTAAAATATTGTTCATTGATGAATTATATTGACCCAATAGTGTGGAACAATAATTATTTTGAGTACCCTTTTCTTGTGAACAGTATATGAATAGATATATTATGTTTGGTCCAATTTGTATGGAATAAATTCTACATCTCTATTATCTATACTAAGTCTTGCGGCCCCGGATAGGTCGATTTCATTTCATGATGACACATTTTAACAGGTCTATCACCATCCTACTCGCACTCATAGAGGATTACCAAAATTAATGGCGCCATATCTCCGATAGTCCTTCGACATGATCCCACCAAACTTAATTTTTCTGATGAACTTGTAATTATAAGACCTAACCGGTTATAGTAGAACATACGAGGGGCTTTCTTTTGAAAAATCAGTCCACTCTACTTCAACTTCCATACACATAATCAGTATTCCCAAGATGGCGGTCGGTGATGTATCGGTAGTGGCATGTGAGCTCAATAAATTGAAAAAAAGTGAGCTGATAGACATAATTTTAACCAAAAAGGTACCAGTAACAACAAGTAATGATGTTCTTATAAAATTTCTGGAAAATAAAAGTGATGGGGAAGTTTTCCATGATGCCGATGACAACCTAACCTCAAAAGATCGTGGGAAGTCCGAGCCTACTAGTCCAACATTACAAGTTAAGATTCTTCAAGATGAGTTGGACATCCTACGAAAACTTACATACCACCTAGAGAAACGAACTTCTGAACAAGAGGATTTAATAATGGTACTCAAACAAATGTGCAATTTTGACAAAATCAAACATCCAGAGTCATCTAGTAATGGTGCATTAAAGCTGGAGAAAAACGAAAATAGATTGTCATCGCCAGATATTCCAAGCAAAAAGATAGTTCCACCAACTACGCAAAAACTCGTATCCGCGCAAGAAACACTCGTCAAGGACAATCCTGCAAAAAGTACGTATATTAGCAAGGCCCAGGTGAATACAGCTGTCCAGAGGGCAATGACCTCCCAAAAAATAAATAAACAATCCAATGTTATTATTGGAAGGAATAATACTAATACTCAAATCAGAACAATTCCAAAGCAAGGGCATCTGCATGTGTACAGGATACACCTGGACACTGATGCCCTCGATTTAAAGGCATTGTTAAAAGACACTGCACCTCATATTAACTTTACCTGTACAGAGTGGAACAAAACAGATAGATATGCATCATTCAAGGTGTCTTTTCCATTAGAAGATGTCGAGAAAGTATACGACCCGGAGATCTGGCCCGAGGGAGCAGCAGTTCAGCGCTTCAAGTTCAAGTATGGTAAAACACATTTTTCAAGGGAGAGTTGTCCCAACAGCTCCAATCTATAGCCGAAGACGACAAATTGCTGATACTTATATCGGTAAACGTACAGTGCCTAACGAATAAGCTTCTAAACCTAGAAATCTTTTCAAAAAAAGAGACACCTGACATTATATGTGTTCAAGAGCATTGGTGCTCAGAAGAGATCCTGAATATGATGAATATTGATGATTACTCGTTAATTACTAGTTACTGCAGGACTAGGAAAATTCATGGTGGTACCATGATTTATGTGAAAACTCATCTGAGTGAACATTTTTCCGCATTGGACTGTAGCAAATTTGCTCAAGAAGAATATTTCGAGTGCTGTGCCATCAGAAGTGAATCAGAAATCTTCAATGGTGTCATAGTGAATGTGTACAGATGTCCCGATGGTGATTTCAACTCATTCTTAGAAAAGGGGTATGAACTTTTATCACAGTTGTCTCAAATGTTTGAAATCATATACATATGTGGAGACATTAATGTTGACTATTTAACGAATACCATGGAAAAAAGAGTACTTGACGAATTTTTCACATGCTTCGATTTAAGAAGTTGTGCTCCAAATGAACCTACTAGAATTGCTCATCACAAAAACAAAAATCGATTATATCGTTACGAATAATTATGGTCATGACGGTGAATGTTATACTACACAGCCAAATATAGGTGATCATTTAGCGATTGTTAAAACTATGAAAATGGGCGGGAAAATACCTGTTGCTAATGAAAACAAATACTCTCAATCTGGTAGAATCACAACTGATTCTTATTTGAATATGGCAAAACAATATTTAACACTCATAGGTTTCGAAAATATGCATGAAGCTGGCCCTAACGTAAATAAAGCATTCAGCGAATTCATGTCAAATATCAACTTTGCTATCGAAGCGAACTGTCCCCTAAAATCAGGAAAAAAAACTATTAACAAAAATAAAAAGAAGTGGGTATCAGAAGACATAATTAAAGAAGGTAAAAATCTAAAAACTATGTTCAATAAGATTAAAAATAAAAATGAACC